CAGGAAAAACTATTTCACTAGGAGGGTGGTGAAACACTGGAATGCGTTACCTAGGGAGGTGGTGGAATCTCCTTTCTTGGAGGTTTTTAAGGCCCGGCTTGACAAAGCCCTGGCTGGGATGATTTAGCTGGGAATTGGTCCTGCTTTGAGCAGGGGGTTGGACTAGATGACCTCTTGAGGTCCCTTCCAACTCTGATATTCTATGATTCTATGAGAGAGGCCACAGGAGACAGACACACTAGGTAAGACCCAGACCATTAGGATTTTAACAGGTCAACATCAGCACTTTAAACTCCACCCAGAAACCAAGAAGCAGTCAGTGCAGATAAAATGAGAACACTGGTGTCACATGCTCAGGGTGAGATACTCCACCTAACAATGGGGCCACTGCACCAGTTGCCACTACCAAATGGATGTAGCTCTTATAGAGCACATTCCAGCAGTCCTAGCTAAAGGGATAATCATGGAAGCAAAGTCCAAGTCCGGGAGGAAAGGTCACAACCCCCTGACTACAGCAAGGTGGAGAAAAGCTGTCCGTGACTGCTGCTATTTGATGGTAGCCAGGAATCTAACCAGACCCCAACTTGAGAATTTTGTCGACAAATGTAGACAAACAGCCATAATAAGGCAGGGGTAGCAGGGCAACAAAATTTCAGTTGAATTCTCTGGTTGATTCCCCTAACCCACCATAATAATCTCATTTTATCTGGACTGAGTCTTGGCCAGCTAGTTCTCATACATACCTCAGACTCACACAGACACTGAGGAAGGCACTCAACCAAACACACCTCAGGCTGGACAAGATAAAGGTATAGAGCTGGACGTCATCTGCAAACTGAAAACACTTCCGCCAGTATCTCCTCACTAATTCTGCTAATGGTCTCGCATACACATTGAACTAGAGGGATAACAGCACGGACACCTGAGGTAACCCAAGAGAGAAACCTTTGGGGCAGAAGAGCAAATATGCAATATTGCCTTCTTGGTACTCCCTAACAGAAAGGAATGAGGCCACCTAAAGGCAGGTCCCACCAGGCATCGCAGAAATGTCAACACCACCTCATGATCCATTGTGTAGAAGGCAGCTGAGAAATCTAGTAGTAGCAGCATGGAGACCTGGGAACAGATCCTCCAGTCCACCGGAACATCATGCCACGTTTGCAACTCCCTATTCCTGGGGCTGGCCAGAGGCCAGTTCAGCCACTGATTCAGCCGTCTGCACCACTTAGACCAGACAGTGTCTCTAAATTGCACCCAGCTGCCTATGATCCCAAGAAGGCATTCCAGCAGCTGGGAATGCAGAGGAGCACTGGCTATTGGAGTGACATAAAGGGGCCAGAGAATCTTGACCACTTGTTTTTATCCATCACCAGGAGACGATCACTGACCAACATGACAGTGCTGTACCCAGGTTAGAACCCAAGCTGGCAAGGGATGTTAGATAATAGTTAATAATTGAGCTTTAGTCTGTCTTTGCACACCACTTTGATCTATGTTGTACACTCTCTTTGGCTGTAGCTGGAGATCTGACCCATGATGTTTATGCATATCTGCTGGGATACATTATGAATGGTACATTTTTTAGACAGCTGAGTAAAATAGCAATAGGTATTTCTTCACTGTAATGGTAGGTTTATGCTTTGACCAATCAATTTTCACAATATTTTGCAAGGCTACAGTAGTAAATTTCCAAGCTTTGTGTTATTTATTGACTTACATAAACACAGAATCTACACAGCAGAGCCAAGTTTATTCAGAGATATCCACAAAAGTTACAGTAAAGTCACTCCTGTGGGAAGGAGAGGGAGGGAAATCAAATTTATGTACTGTTCTCTTCATCTGACTTGTTAAAACCAATTACTCATTCTTGAACAGAAATGTTATTACCCTTTCTTCCAAGATAATATTAACATTCCCTCAAAACCTGCCGGGCCTAGCACATCTGTATTTTCCAATGTGATAGGTAACTCTTACTCCTGGTATTCTGGGGAGAGCCACTAGCATATGTCAGCTTTATTCTTTAAAGCATACGTTTACTTAAGTAATATTTTAAAACATAATCTACTTAGACTGTAAACTTTTTGGGGTAGGGACCACATTTTTATTGCGTGTTTGTACAGTGCCTAGCACAACAGGTCCGCAACTGAGGCTTGCAGGAGATACCACAATACAAATAAAATAATAATAAACTAATTATAATAACAATTACTAATAAAAGAACTAATAAGATATTTCCTGAAAGAAAAGAATAATTAATTATAGAAGGGATAAAAAAACTCATTACCTCAATGGACCCTGGTTCTACTTTGACTATTTCTCCTGTGCTGTTGTCATTGCTAAGACTTGGTGGGCTACGTGAAGCTAGCCTTTTCTCTTCCTTTAAGGCATGCTCCAAAAGTTTCTTATTCAAGATCCTGGCAGCATTTTCTGTAAGTGTATACCCCGGAGGAGCAGATAAATCCTGCCTGATGCTTGTTGCCTCAGACTCTTCTTCCTTTTCCATCTCTGCACCCAAACGGAGAGGACTGGGTGACCGGCCACGGGCACTTGTACACATTTCCTGCATGGGCCCCAGTTCTGATCTCGGTTCTGCTGACCTAGATCGGCTGCTAGACCTGGTGCATTTTTGGAGGGTCTCTTGAACAACAGGGGTGTGGTCAATAATATTGAACAAACTGGAGAGGCCATCATTGATGGTGGTATGAACTGGGCTCTCCCTTGTAGTAGTTGACCTAGCCCAAGCAGACTCACTGAATCCTTTCTGAGGTGTGCCTGGTAAAGTCCGATTATTTGGCTGATCTGTTTTTGGGAGGATTTTTCTTTGTAATTTTGGAGAACCATATTTGGGAGAACAGCACGTGCGTTCAAACTTGGCCTGGACCTTTTCGATGGCAGGGGCTACCTGCCTGCTCCTTAAACTTCTTGATGGTGATGAGATTGGTGTGGAGCCCCCCTTTGGTGTCAGACACTTGTGTGGACTGCTGGTGATGCTGCGCAAGGTTTCTGTCTGTAAGCCAACACTGATTGTCTGGGTGGTCTGTGTCCCTGTAGTTCTTATACCATTGGTTTGACAAGCTATGTCCTTAAACTGAGGCTCTGTCGAATTAGAGTTAGAACGTATTGCATTTCTGACAGAGTAAGCTACTTCCTTCATATCGTCACTCATGTTCTTGGACAGTTCCAGGCTCTGCAAGGATGAGGCAAAACCCACAGCAGTGCAAATAGGATGCTCAATAGGATGAAGACCACTTTCCAAAAAATCTTTATGGTGTTTGGTGAGATCACAAGACCATCTCCCAAACACATCTGAGGAAGCACCTTTTGTCTCACCCACACTCCCTTTAGCTTTGGTCACAGAAAACAAAAAGTCTGGCTCAACCTGTTTTTTCCCTCCATTACCAGCTATCGCTGAGTTATCAAGCCTACGGATAACTGGCGGACTGTGAAAGACCTTAACCCCCATTTTTTCTGTTACAATGTGACTCCTCAGTGGCTGCTTCTGGCAGGGCTCTGGGCTCGTCATGGTATTGGTTGTCATAGTAACACTGGTGGTAAGGTACCATGATGATGCTTGGAATGGATCTGAAGTTGAATCACTTCTTACTTTCCCATTTTCTGTCCTTTCTGCCCAGGCTTCTGCAGGCTTTTCTGTAACTCCACTATGGATCCTGGTGTTACTATAATCCCAGTTTTTGTTGAACTCTTCAATGTATTTCAGATCATCAGGGGACAGAGGAGGTGTTATATCCTCCTTACTACTAGATGAAGGCAAGGTCTTTTCAGGAAGGAATGGAGAAATATCCATCAAACGGTGGAATTCTGACATGGAGGAAACAGACACTGCCCTGAGGGAAAAAAACAAAACATAAATTAAATAATTGAAAACCCTTATAGAAATATTTCTGCTTTAAAACAGAGGGAAAATTAATCCATATAACCAGCTCACATTCAAAATCTATTTATTAAAAGTTCCCTTTATTGCTTTTTGAATTGCTGCATAATGCAAACATTTTCTCAAGAACTACTGCTTGGTAAAGGTTTAAAATATGCAGCTTTAGAACAGTTTTCAATATATATTATCCATGAAAAATGTATCTTTACAACACTATGACACACATTTGTAAGGCTGCAAATAGCAGAAAAGTACAAAGAGAGGTGCTGAGTATCCTTAACTTTCAGTGAAGCCACTGAGCCCTCACAGGCACCTGAGGTTGCAAACACTTCATAGCTGGTGCTTGGCACCTTATAGGATCAGGTCTAGAGACTGTCATATTTACCTAGTTCGGTGAGTTCAGCTTATGCTGCAACTTAATGAAAGTGAATATGAGTGGTTAGAGAAACTATGAGAAATTTCAAAGAATTCTTGGGTTTCCATAAAGTTTGTTAGTTTATACAATTTAAAGCATCTAATTGAATCTTCCTATTTACTTGACTGTAAGGAATATTGTAAAACACTGGAATCTTTCTAGATCAGAGGTTTTCAACCTGTGGTCCATGGACCCCTGGGGGTCCGCAGACTATGTATAGGATTTCCAAAGGGGTCTGCACCTCCATTTGAAATTTTTTAGGAGTCCACAAATGAAAAAAGGTTGGAAACCACTGTTCTAGATAAAAGGGACTATATAAAAATGTAAATCACCATAATTATCTATGCAAACCCAATGAGCAAACTCAAACTAGATGAGCCACCCAGGATTTTAAAAAGTGATGAGATTTATAGAGCAATGTTATAGTGGTTTAAACAAATCTGTTGTGAATTTTTTAATCAAGACTAGGGCCAGATTCAATGTTGGTGTATGTTGCAGCTCTGCTAACTTCAGAGGTAAATCTACTTACACCAGGGTTTAATTTGGCCCAATTTATTTAGTCAAGAAAGAGTAGAACCATACTGAGACAAATTAATCTCTGAGTAAATCCACTAATCTGGTTCCGAGGCAGCAAAGCTATATACTACCCTTGTTAAGGGCTTGCGGCAAAGCCCAAAATCTCATCAGCTGGATGTTTGGTGCTTTTCCTGTCAGTTTTACTCACCTTTGAAGATTTCCCTTGTGCGTTTCTTCTTCCTGGAAAAACAAAACAAAACCAGTTACTTCTGAACCTTTACAGAGGACATAATAGCAATATTTTGCACCTGTAGGGCATTTTGTCATTTGTCTCTGGGTAGTTCCACAAGTTCTTGAAAATCCTTTTTCAAAATGACAGACTTCTTCCTGGATAGGGTATTTGTGAGGGGTATGTGTGGATATTCTTTCTTTAATACACATGTATGAATGCTATCATTCCCAGTAGAATCAATGGAATCACTCATATCAGAGATTATACCCCAAACTAAAGCATGCTTAAATGTTTATAGTCCAACTTATCACAGAGAACAATGAGCTTTAAATGACCTTTCTCCACAATTAAAAATTCAAGTTCTGGATCACATCTGCATGAGTGAAAAACAGAGACCTAGCTGTGCTGAGATAAGAGACAAAAATGTAGTCCTTTGACATAAGATTTCATTACAAATTCTCCAGGCACTAACAAATGGTATCAGTTGAAACTCATTAAACTAGTTATATTAAATATGTGGGAAGACTATTACTTGTTTCATAAGGAAATACCTACAGATAGCTCACAGGATTAAGATGCTGTTACAGCAATTATTCCCTAGTGACAATTTTCATAATCAGCTTTTTTAAGCTCATACTTTCCTGATGCAGTTGGTCTAGAGCTATTGTTTTAACTATTTAGATTTCCAATAAATTATACAAAATACAAGCCAGGTAACAAAAATGTACAAATTCAGGAACAAAAAACTTTTAGTATTAATGGCTTTAATCTGACCCCAGGAAAACCAGCACTTTTCCAAGAACAATACTACTCCTAAAAGTGACTAGTCAAAACCAGCACCCTTTGATTCAAGAAATCTCATTCCTGTATGTATATCCTCAGTTGTATCTGAGGACTAGGTGCCTGGTTCTCCATTCTCTTATACTGGGGTCAAGGAATGGAGAATCAGGCCCTCCGTTTTTACTGACTTTTATTGCTGTTAGTACTGCAAAGCCAATGCAGCTAAGAGAGAGAGTCTTTGTGTGTGTGTGTGTGTGTGTGTGTGTGTGTGTGTGTGTGTGTGTGTGTGTGTGTGTGTGTGTGTGTGTGTGTGTGTGTGTGTGTGTGTGTGTGTGTGTTGTGTGTGTGTGTGTGTGTGTGTGAGATCAACAGAACTGCTTATTAAGCTCCAATCAGTTACACCTAAGGAAACCTGCTGAAGAAAATGAGTTTGTACAAGTTTCATTAAAACATAATTTGAAAACAAGGAGGCTGAACAAAAGTCACTGAGGGTCTAATTTTACATGCAGAACTTTTATTAATGGCAGCGAAGGGAGAAAATGGGGAGTGGGATCCAAAACCACTTGACTCACAGAACTGACTGCTGAGGTTACAGCACTGGAAATAGGAAAAAATGTTTTTTTGCTTGTAATCTGAGCACATATGAAATGAGCCACCCAGAGAAAATAAACAGGGAACCCCACCACAACAGCTATATAGTTACATTTTTTCCCACCGAGGAAAATTAAATACTGTATGTGTGTACATGTGCACCTTCCCACAGACACACAAGCATTTATAATTTCAGAAAAATATTCTTATATTTCCTAAATCATTTATCCTTCTTCCTGTTCCTTCCAACCAGCCTGATGCTTTGTTGGTCTGTTAAGCAACAATTTAATTGCTGGCATGAGATCACATTTTGAATACCTTTAAATTTTTTAACAAAGGCTTGGAACAATTTTCCACAAGCTTCAAAAACCCAACTGAAGTTACATGGTGAAGCCAAATAGCGTTGTGAGGTAAAATAGGGGGCTCATGGTTTGACTTACCTAACAAACATGTTTCCAGAATGGCCGAATTGCAAAAGCAGTCTCTATATATGTGCCTGCATTTTTGGATGTGAAAGTTTCTGTTCACCTGTTAGCTACGATTTGTACACACAAACAGCATTTACATGCTGAAAACAGTATTCAGATATCTAACTGCCTGACATATGTACACAGATCTGAGTTTTCAGGAATGCAGAAAGTTGTCTGTTACAAAACCTGCAATTTGAAAACTGCAAACAATATAGAAGCTGTTGTTGATGATTCACCCGTCTTTTCAAGATCTGTTGCATATTTGTTTTGTAATATCAATTAACATGCAAAGAGAGACTAAAAAGGAAGATTTTAATTCTTTGGTGCTTCAGTGTTTTTGTAATTTCAAATGAGATAGTAAACTGTACAGTTGTGGCACCTAACAGTTTCCTAGCGATCACCAATATAATATGTAGTTTTGCATGCAGGTTTGGCTCAGCCTAAAGTAACTAGAACGTATTGTTTCTGATGGAAACCATGGAGGCCAAAGGGATGTTACCCTCGCCTACTATAAGGTAATCTCATTGGGTCAAATCCTGGGTCTATTGAAGTCAACTGGAGTTTTGCTACCATCTTCAGTGGAGCCTGGATTTCACCCATTGTATCCTAATAATTTCCTTCATCATTGCTCTTTGTTATGAGACTCTGGAACTCCCTGGATGTTATGCTGAGGTAGCAGAGCAAGGGACTTTTAAAGATCAACAGTTATTTAGGACTCCTTCATATCCTTTCTAAACAATCAACATTACCTCTTGATAGCACTTACTGTTTTACTGATGTTTAATGGCACTTTAAGATGTTTTTTGACAATGAAATTGTTTGACCTGAGCGCCTGTCAAAATAGAGCTCCTGCCCCTTTTAAAACAGGAAGAGCTTTAAGTCCTTGTAACTCCTTGCATAATCAAAAATAAACAATGATCTATTTCTAACTCTTCAACTCATTCCCCTGGCCCAAGAATCAGGAAATTCTTACGGGCCTTCTGGTTTCTTTAGACTGGCCTGACTAACCTCCAATTATATCCAGTGACCAACACCAACCCAATCAGCTCATAACAAGAGGCAACGTTAAAATTCAATCAAACTCACCACCAAATTACTGCAAGGAGTGTCTAATAAAGCCTCCCCCTTCACATAGCATGACAGCTATAATGATTACAGTATAATTGAAAACATGATAGGAATAAACAAACATACTTCAGTTAAGCAAGTCAAGAACTTCTCCCGCTCCAATCTCTGAGGCCGAGGCTCATCAGATTCATCAGGAGAATCAAGAGACAATGAATCGAGAAAGAGGTTTTCTGTGGCAGTGCACCTATCACTTTCCTTCAGCTTCGACAGTGACTGATCATCAAACTGTATGGCATCTGAATCAGAATAGGACCTTGCCCCCATTGGATGAGGCACATAAAGGTTTCCCTGGGTTGAAAATGGACGAAGGCTACTCTCCTTCTGGTCACAAAGAATGCTGTCTCCTTTTCGTGTGCTCACTTCTTTTTGAAGCTGAAAAAAAAAGCAAATTAAAATTGAAGTTAGCATGGATTATTTGCAGTAGCTCAACACCTCTGTCTTTTCTGTAGAACTTGGCCTTCTAAGACTTTGGCCCTTCACTGTGGGCTTTGCAGCTCAGGGAAGTTTCATTTGACTTGACAACTTCCAAAATATTCAAGAGAAGTGAACAGGTTTATACCATTCACTGAGTGTACAGTGCAGAGAATGAAGGATTCTACAATAGGGAAAATGCAGCATCTTACCACGAGAGGACACTTGAATGCAAGGGACCAGAGAAAAAGTGGAGGAAAATCCACATCAAGAGCCAAACCCATGTATATTTTCAACAATATTTGATTCTGCATTGCAGCTTGCAGTTAGCTCTCCACAAACCACACATTTAGAACTTAATAATTTTAACTGGTTAATTGCGAAAATTATATTATTTGCCAAAATTCAGAAATTATTAAAGGGATCAAACCAAAAGAATTTTTTTTTACATTACCATGATAGTATCTGGAACAGAACAAATAGAACAGGATACAAAATAAAGGTTTGCAGCAATCAAAGACTGACATGGAGCTGAGAAACTCAGGAATTTCCTTGGAAGCAATCCAGACATGGCACTCAGAGGAAAGTAGTCTTAGGGTACATTGACACTTCAAGCTGGACATGTAATTCCCAGCTCAAGTAGACATACCTGCACTAGCTCTGAGTGGGCTAGTGTGCTAAAAATAGCAGGGTAGCCACGGAGGCGCATGTGGTTAGCTGTCCTGACTGTGATCCCACCTGAGTCAGTAGGAACATATTTGAGGTAGTTAGCCTCTTCTGCTACCCACATCACCATGGCTACCCTGTCATTTTTAGGGTACATCTTCTCAAGCTGGAAATTATACCTCCAGTTTGAAGTGTGGATGTACCTTCAGTTCGGACCTCGGCGTATCACTGCTTGGCTCTGACGAAACTAACACTACAGTATGTGTTCATCTCCAAATAGGGAGCTGTTCCCAAGATTCTGAAATCTTGTCCTTTGTGTTTTTAAATGCTCTTTTTAAAACAAACAAAACAAACAAACCACTATTTGAAATCTGAATTTAAAAAAAAGCAAGGCAAAGGGCTTATCTACAGTGACAGCGCTGCAGTTGTAGCTGTGTCACTGTAACGCTTAGTGAAGACGCTGCATACGCCGAGGGAAGAGCTTCTCCCATCATCATATGTATTCCACCTCCCCGAGAGGCAGTAGCTATGTTGATAGGAGAAGTCCTCCCATCGACTTAGCGCTGACTACACCGGCATTTTCCACACCCCTGAGCGATGCAGTTATACTGACCTAAATTCGTAGTGTAGACCAGGGCAAAGTCTGGAGTTAATATCATAAGTTCATAAAGTGTAAGGCCAAAAGGGATCAGTAGAACATCTAATCTGACCTCCTGCAGAACACAGGTCCTTAAATGTCACACAGTTACCCCTGTATTTAAATTTCTCTCACTACCATATCCCAAAGAAATGTAATTATAAGCTCCAGGAGTGTTCTGAAGTTTCATCAAAATAATCATGATTGTCTTCTGACTCAATAATATAAGGGCTGCCCCTTTTTAGTCTACACTCTAGATCTAAACCGTGAAAATTCCTTTTAACAAAGGATTAGAACTAGATTTTCAAAACTATGTGGAACTACTGCATGGCTAAAAAACACAAGGTGAGCACACTACAGGATTGTCAGAATACTAGTTAAGAACTAAGGCATGCAAGGCATGTTCAGAGAAGGTGCATATGTGCATGAGAACCATTAAAGTGACTAGTTCTGTACTTCTCAAAAATGGACGGGGAACGGGTGGCGCCACAAATATGGATGAACTAATGACATTTTCAAAAATTAATAGCGTAGGCAACTTTCATTGCAGTTGTAACTGTAACACGACTAAAAATGATATTTCCAAAAACAAGGAATTCCAGCAGGAATATCACTTGTAACTCATATTTACTGCTAAAACTGCCTGAAAAGGTTGGATAAGAAGGCTTTTTAGGAAGTCCATGAGGCAAATAAGCTACAGGTGGAATTCATTAGGTAGGAACAGAGTACTGGGTATGTAATATTCAATGGAGGACTTCAAGCTTAAAAAGTTTTCAATGCACATGTGAATAAAAAAGAAATTTTGGAGCTCAGTGAGTGAATTTGAGATGATGAATACCGAAATTCCATACAGCACCCGTCGTGTCAAAAAATCTTTCTGTACCAGATCCTAAGGTTCTTAATTTTTACTTAGGCAAAACCTCTCATTGAAATAATGGGAGTTCTGCTTATTCATAATTTTCAAGACCAGAAGGAACCACTCTGATCATCCAGTCTGACCTCCTGTATAGCACAGACTATTGGCCTTTCCCAATATAATTCCTAGAGCATAACTTTTAGAAACACATTCAATCTAGATTTAAAAATTGTCAGTGATGGAGAATCTACCATTACACTTGATAAACTGTTCCAATGATTAAATACTCTCACTTATTAACGTATGCCTTATTTCCAGTCTGAATATTGCATTATACCTGCTAGACTGAAGAGCCCTATGATGGAATACACAAACCTGTCACTGGACAATAAAGGATTAAGGAGCTAGTCTTGGCTCAGTCAGCCCCACCACAACTGCAAGAGATGCACAGACTGGAGGAGGAGGTAAAGGGAAGCAGAACAGCTCACTTGGGGGCAGAGCAGGGAAGAGAGCAGATCTGCACCTTGCAGCTCCTGAGAGCAAAGCTGAGGAAAGCAGGATCTCTCCCTACAACTGCTCAAAGGTCTCCCATGAGGGAAGGGAGGACCCGCTTTAGATGCACCCTGAGAGGGAGGCATTCCCCTCCTCCCCAATATGGGCACACTAATTCCCCTTCTTTTGTTTATGGACTACCACAGTAGGGGAGAGATTTGGAACGAACCTGGCTGAGGGTCAAGCCACAAGAAGAGGCAGCTGCCACCCTGAAAGAGAGGGAGCCACCACACCACACATGGCCACAAGGAGGTGCCAAGCAGTGAGCTGACCTCCTGCACACCTACTGCACAGATGGCGAACTTTGGACAATCTTGGGAGGACTGGGGTAGGAGTGGCTCAGGGAGGGCACCCTTAAGTCACCCCTGGCAGTCAGATCACTGATGGCCCTCACAGGGCCTGGGCCAGAGCTTAGTGGAGTGGGAGGGCCCAGGCTCTCCTACCAACTCCCCCACCCTGCAGTTTGAAGGGCCTAAGCCCTGACCACTAGGCAGTGCTCCCCATGAATGAAGACCATCACAAGCTCATTATTAACTATTTGTCCCCCATTGTAGTGAGGCAGAGTGGCCTCCCCCTGGACTGGAGAGCGAGGGATCTCTACACTCTCCTGGCTGACAGGGTCAAACCCACCCCGCCCCCCTCACCGTAAGTACAAGGACAGGACAGGAAATATAAAGGGAGGGCCCTGCAGCTCAGCTGAGTGGGAGCCAGCAAAGGAGATGGACGCCTCAGCTCTGCTGTGGCACCTTGGAGCTGAATCTGCGCTCTGAAGCACCCTGACCCCAGAGGAGACGGACCCAGATGGGGAGTTGCCAGGACTACCATCCACTGTGTACCCAGAGGAGCCCGAGGACCTGTGGATTTCAGAGGTATCAAACCCTGGGGAGGAAGGAAGCAGCCCAGGGGCAGCTGACAACTGTTTGGCTCTGTGGCTGATTGCCTCTATGTCGGTGTTTTGTGACTGCATCCCCGCTGACCCAGTGGTGGACCACTCCACCACTGATAGGACCCTGGGTTGGGACATGGCGAGTTGGGCGGGCCCACGTCCCCCTGCTACCCCACCCCTGGGGTGGCCAACTCCCTGCCATAGGCCAGGAGGCCTGTGTGGACCTACTGTCTATTGAGCTAGGACTCTAGACTCCCGGGTGCTCATCCTTCCGGAACCCCTAGACCGTGTGGGTGCTCCCCACCCCCTTCCAGAGCCCCCAGACTGTATGGGTGCTCAGCCCTACCGGAACTTTAAGATATGTGTATTGCTGACTGTCTTAGCCCACATGCTGAGGCTAAAGCCTGCCCTCCACTCTGCCCCGCCAGGGGCTAGGGCTCTAGACTGTGTGTATTTGCTGGCTGCCTTGGCCAGGAGGCTTAGGCTACAGCCTGCTCCCCGCTGGGCCCCACCCAAAGGGCTAGGGCTCCAGACTGCTATTTACTGTCAGCCCCAGCTGAGGGGCTGCTCAGTGTGCTGCCCTGCCCAAAGGTGGAGAAAAGGGCACCAGACTGTTGTTGATTGTTAGACGGGCCCAGAACTATAGACTACTTACAGCTCGGCCCTGCCAGTGCGACCTCAGCCTGAGGGCTACCGCCCAATACAATGAGGCAGAGTGGCCTCCCTCCCCACTGAAGACCGAGGGATCTCTACACCCATGAAGATACTTATTGACTACAATCAAATCACCACCTTCTCTTTGTTAAACTAAACATATTGAGCTCTTTGACTCTATCACTGGGAGGCATGTTTTCTAATCCTTTAATCATTCTTGTGCCTCTTCTCTTAACCCTCTCTAACTTATCAACATCCGTCTTGAATTATGAGCACCAGAACTGGACATAGTATTCTAGCAGCAGTCATGCCAGTGCCAAATATAGGGGTAAAATATCTTTTCTACTTCTACTCAAGATTTCCTTGTTTATGCATCCAAGGATCACAAAAGCCCTTTTGGCCATAGTGCCACACTGGAATCTTGTGTTCGGCTGATTATCCATCATGACCCCCAAATCTTTTTCAGAGTCACTGTTTACCAGGATAGAGTCCCCTATCCTCTAAGTATGGCCTACAGTCTTTCTTCCTGGATGTATACATTTATAGTTAGCCATATTAAAACACATACTGTTTGCTTGCACCCAGCTTACCAAGCGATCCCAATTGCTCTGAACCAATGACCTGTCCCCTTTGTTATTTGCCACTCCTCCAAGTTTTGTGTCATCTGCAATCTTTATCAGTGCTGATTTTATGTTTTCTTCCAGGTCATT